CATGGAAGGTACATTGGTCAAAAGAACAGCGTAAGAATGTGTACATCTGTACCTTTGTATGCATGTGCAAATAATCACACAGATTAAACCCGCCTACTTGCCCTAATTTGCACAAACATTACAGCGACTCCAAAATTGGTCGAGTGTTTATGGTGATTAGGCGATGTCGGATCGTAGTTTGGTTCAGTCAATCACACAACTTCTTGCCATGCAAAATCTTTCCGTGCGAGTAATATACCGATCAGAAAACTTCGGTAACAACGAAGACAAGTCAACAAGTTCAGCATGCTGTAGAGTTGATCTTCCGTGCGTCGGACTGAACGTTTTAGGTTTAACAAGATGATCGCTACACCTTAGCTCTGAGTATCATATCTCCCAGAGTAGACACCGACACTTCATCCTTCGATACAGATTCCACACTCCAATATGCAGTTCAAAGCCCAAAACAAGTCATTATCAAACAGATCCATTTATGAGAATTATTTCTTCACTTGAATTTTGACTGCATTAAGTGTGAATTCCACTTTACGCGTCCACTAGAAAACATGTTCAGTACAAAGCACAAAATTGACCTTACGCTTGGATGCATACCGCCGATTTAGTCCCAATTAAGGCTCTTCGAGCGACGAAGGACAGACACGAGGATCTCTAAGATTCAGAAATATGGACCCCTTACCTTAAACGAAAATTTCCTCTCAATGGGGACAACTTGTAAGGGGAAGGTCTTATCTCCGTTGCACGTGCTACATGAGGCAACGCAGCACGTGCGACTCAACTGGAAGCAAACCGCCGATATCCAGCAATTCGGGGAGTGTCAAAAGATCGACATTAGCGTGCTTACGTTAAATCCTGGTCGCTCCTGCCATCTCGACGATTCGTTCTCTGCGCGCGACACCCACTTCCATGAAGTGGCTCCCTAAAGATCGTGATGAACCTGTTTAGATTATAGCACCGGTCGTTTATACAGGTGAATCACCAGGCAAAGATACGTTTAGTCTAGTGGTGCGCCTAGGCACTGCTTTATATATTTTGCACCAGGTCGGTCCGAAGAGCATAGCAAGTGTAACGGGATGAATTAGTTTACAGGATTACTGGGTGAGATTGATAACGTGATAATTACTAGTAGAATGTGTAACACACTCGACGTGTCGATATTGATTTCGCCCTAAAAGTTCTTCAACATCAAAGCGTATCGGGATGATGTCACGGACTAACCTCACGTTAATATTCTTTTCTATATTCAAGCGTTTTAAGGGGTTTACGCAACAGGTGTGTGTATAACGGGTTACATGACATGTGTGGTACACAAAGGACGGAGTTCCATTAAAAAGGAAATTCGAACACCGTATTAATTGTCAGGGGCAGAAGTGTGTCAGCCACCGAATTAAGAGATGATTTAGGAGGAATTAATTAGAACAGTAGTGACTAGGTCATGTACGTTGTTCCGAGCTGTTATTTTAGATAAACAGAGATAAAGTTCAGTTTCCATTTTGATCAACATAAGACACGTGCCTCACGAGACGTCTTGATCGTAAGATCTAGCAACGCCTGTGAAGGTAGCTGCTCTTGAACACTCTGTGCTGTGCTTCTTTTAAATCGTTTGGTCTCCCTGGATCAGGGACCGTAAGCTCTCTGAGCTTGTTGACTCTCTGAGTAGGGTTCATTGAACCTTAAGTTGATCGTAGAGCGTTAAGTCTTCCAATGCCATTAAGGAGTTGTGTAGCTCCGCTACAAAGCGTATCTGACTAAGTGCATATAATTAAAGATCGCATCCACGCAATTACATTATAGCCGATATTCAATTACCTTTTGTTTAATCTAATCGATATAAATTAGTCTTCCTTTTACAACCAAGACATCAGGCGCTCGCGATAATACAGAAAACCGCTTCTGCGTATCACTTCGACAGAGTTGGCTCTTGTAAACAAGCGAGTGAATTATGGATACCCAATGAGTTCACCCGAACAACTGCCCACAAAGATAACACGGTAAAATCGATTATTCGTCCGTGCAAGAAGGTTTGTAATTGCGTATGCGTTGCAGCTTGTATAGCGCCCGCCTACATCAATTCTACCAACACGAAAGCGACCAGAATTTTCGTCAAGATGGCAAAATGGGACGTTTTGAGCTAAGAAGGTCTCCTAGACATGACTCTTCTATGACCGGAATCAGATTGAACCGCGAGATCAGCCTAGCCGTCCGGACAATAGTGCGCACGCATCACTGACGTCAGATTTTGTCAAATGTCGTTCTACTCGACCCTCTGTAAGTGTCCCCCGTGACACCAGGAGTATCAAACCAGCAAAGTTAAGTTTGCGGTTGGAAAAAGGTTCTTGTCATGGTAGAAAATCGAAGTGAACTTTACAAAACATACATTAAGCAGTAAATAGTAGATGTTATAGACATTCTGCGCTCCCTGATTGCATATTGATGCTGCGGTCGCATTTCTCAGATGACAATCTGTTGTGCACGAGGGTTTAGACGAGCGTAGTATGTACTGCAATTATACTTTTACAGTTCATAGTTGTGGCCAAGAAAGCAACTACAGCCATAGTAGCGACAAAACACGCAGACGCAACTGTTCTGGCGTGCTTTAAAAAGTGGTGGACCTGGAGACCAGCGTATTGAAGGAACAAGGGACCGCACACCAGGAAGAGGGAATTATAGAGAAATGGGATCACGGAGGTGAAGTGACACTTGAATGAGAAGAACTTGCAGGACTAGCCAAGGTAAGATCACTGCCAGGGTACCGGTAACGGCACTGAAAGGTGTCGACCAAAGTCTTTCATTGGAAGGACCGGTCCCTAATTAGTGGCCCAGTCCCTCATCGGTAGCCCTAGGTCCCTTATAGGTAGACCTCGAACCCTTAGAATCGAACGCATCCCCATCAGTAGACCTAGGTTCCTCAAAGTCAAGCTACTCCTGATCCGTTAAAAAAAGAATTAGAGCATACGAAAAGGATAAAGTGAGGAGGTTAAAATGATAGGAATTCAATAAATAGTACCCCATTAGCGATATACATAGCACGACTTCATCGTGTTGTAAGGAAATTGTTTAGTCTGCCCGCCTATTACGGAAAAGGGATATACTTTGACCTCACGATGAAGACAGTCGCAACGCAAAATCAAGTGCGAATGGAGCTCCAGGAAATATTTGGCCTGTGATTTCGTCTCGACTAGCACTCCCTAAATTTTCGCCATCGGAAGCGGCCTCCCTTACCCGGTGGTAGCGAAAACAGTAAAGTTCCGACGGTGACACCCCTGAGATACAAAACAACGAAAAGGGAAGGGGTAACAAGATTTCTGAAGAATTTGGCCTTGAGCTTACTCTCGACCAGGTCAACCGAATAGCCACCTACTGTCTCACCGAGTGGAGCATATCTACTTTTCTTTCCATGTCTCGATCTATAAAGACCAAGATCTATATCCCCACCCAATTCTTCCGAGGAGTGCGACTCGCCAGCCGACGGGTACATAAGGTGAGTCAAGGTCCATACGGGGAGTCGATATAACTCCTCGGTAAGTCGACAGTCCGGCACAGTGAGTGGGTGGAATCTCATCGCATATTTTTAGGAGCCCACTCTGTAACGGGGTGAGCCCGTTACATAAAAATTGGCACGAATGTACCAATTTCTGAATATTATCTATTTTAATAATATTCAATCAACATCACCCAAGAAGAGGTGATGTTGATCGAATGTTGCCTTCAGGGACAACATTCTTTGGGTGCTCCGTTGGCTGATTGATGTACGCGATACATCAACCAGATTAACCGATAATCGCTGCTATACGCGCGCAATGGGTGTTGAGCAAGAAACCCACATAGAAACTTGTACTTTAATATGGTTAGATTAAGACAAAGGTAGTTTTATTAACTATATCAAATACAGTTCTACTTTCGCCTTAAACAGAGCTTGCGAGTTCTGTTTATTCCTCGCGCTTCCTCAACGCCACGTGTACGTGACGTCGGGAGTACGCACCCTTGTATTAATATTAATACAATGTCTTGCTCAGTTATTTGAGCAAGAGCGTGCCCCGTTACACACTCCACCACGCAACACCAAGTGAAGCTACGATTGATGTGTCATCCGCACCGCAAAAAGCAAATAACTAGGTAGTTATCGACACAGGTTGGTAAAATACTGTCATTTGTTTTCGTCATACCCATACAAATGTTGTAGCTTTAGAGCATGAAGCCACCATACAGTCTTTGCCATCAACGATTAGCGCTATTGGGCTGGTCGAACTTTTTTCGTCTTTTCCGATCATTACTGTCCGAAGGCTTACAGTTCAGCGCAGGTGTCTTGCAATTTAATGTATTCTCGAGCATCTGCATGGTTTCCTGCAACAGTACCAACAAGCGCCTGTCATATCTTCGGTTTACTGCCATCTTTGTCTGTCATAGTTCATTCGTCGATGCAGCCCTAACCATTTCTCTGATGTGTTTTGTACAGCATCGTACATCGACAGATCGACGCTAAGCTTATCCTGACTAATCTAGTTCACAACACGGCCACAGGCGACGGCTACGCGTGGATGCGATCGGATATGTTGAAGCTGGATGTAATAGAGACAAGTAACACGGCCTTTAAGAAATCGGACAGACGGCATGTAAGGCTTCGCTGAAGCGTCAACGCATCTCTTTGCTCTCGTATTCTTACTGTCAACGATACAACTTGCAAGGTATTGCGCGTGATCTAGCAAAAAAGGTTGAATGAGTGTTACAGGGATACGCATCGACGATTTCCGGCCATGCGTTTATTCGTGCCATACGCTTATTCGTCAGGTGTTTGGTTCATACACATAACATTACCGGGTATGCAATACTTACGGATCAAACACATTTTTTATTCTTCATCTTGTGGTGCACTTTTCTATAAATAGATATTTTTCAAGAGGGTGATTAACTGACCCAGTTTATTTTGTACAGGTGGTACCGTTACGGCTATTTCAGTACGCAACCGACCTGCATCGCTACCAGTCAAACTCGACACAGTCCTCATGGGAAGTAAAAGGCGGCGATTGGAAGCACCTGCAGAATCACGACCACGCAATCGCAACGCGAGCGACGCGTCGCAACATGACGTCAGGAAGAAGGCAAAGACAGCAGTGACGCAACTCCAAGCGTCGACAGTCAAGACAGTGCCGAAGACACAGGAAAAGGCAGGACGTCTAGCGAGACCGACGGCTCTGGCCAACTCGAACTGGAAAGCGCGGAAGAGCTCGATCTTGCAAACGGAGAAGCGTCGTGGACCTGGACCTCGATCGGACCGGAAGCATGACTTGGACGTGAAGGTCCAGAAGATGCGGGTGAAGCAGGCGAAGCAGGAGAAGAGGGTGAAGGCTCGGGTGGCTGAATGGGTGGACAACGCCCGAGTCGTCGCGATGGACTGCGAGATGGTCGGAGTCGGCCTCTCGGGCAAGACAAGTGTACTTGCACGTTGCAGTATCGTGGACTACGAGGGCCAAGTGCTGTACGACAAGCACGTGCGGCCCGTGGAAAAGGTCACTGATTTCCGGACGCATGTGAGCGGCATTCGCTCCAGTTCGCTTCGCAATGCTATTTCGTTTGCGCAGTGCATCAAAGAAGTGGGCAAACTCGTGCAGGGCAAGATCGTTGTCGGCCACGCATTGAAGAACGACTTTCAGGCGCTCATGTTCACGCCGCCGAAGCACCTGCTTCGGGATACCGCTTTGTACCGACCGTACATGCGTCGGAAAATCAATGGCACAGTACGTACAAGAAGCTAAGCAGGTGGAACGAGCGCTTTCTAATGATGTGTGGTTGTTTGCCTCGCAATGCGTAGAAACTGTATCCCAAGTCACTGAAGAACTTGGCCGAAGAGGTGCTCGGCAAGCAGATTCAAGGTGGACAGCACGACTCGGTGCGTTTTATCTTCCTGTGTTTGTGTGTCAAGCTCTGACCTAACGTTCTGCTGCTCTCGACGTGTGTGCGTGGCTCACGTGTGTACCGTGCAATATATTGCAGGTTGAAGATGCGCGAGCGGCCCTAGAGCTGTATAAACACGAGCAGTACGCGTGGGAAAAGTATCTACGCACGGCCAAGAGCAGCAAGTCGTTGGTGGGCGTGGCACCTGTTTTGCCAGAAGAAAAGGACGTGACCAAAGACGCTTTGGAGCTGCTGTCTGGTACTACTGCCCAGTGTTTTGTCGACAGTGATGACGAAGGCACAAGCTCGAAACGACGCACTAGGACTGTTCCAGATTCAAAGGAGCTCGCTCTTCTGGAATACGGCGAGTAGATCAGATCAGGTGGACTTTGTTTGGCCAGATAGTAGTAGTCGACGAGACGATTCCTTCCGTGCACTGTTTTGATTGTGTCGTTTCTATTCGTAAAAACCCTTTGTCGTGTAAAAAGAGACGCGACTCTTGTGCACCAGTCATGTGACTTGTGGGTTCAAACGACGAGATACGCACATGTCTCCATAAGTAATTGTCCACGTCTGTAATCTCCAGCTCGGGAGCCTCTCTTTACCAGCTTCTAGCCCTGCTTCCTTTCGCTGCGTCCTCTGGATGGAGCTTGGAGGCGTTGTCTCGTGGTTACGCGGTTAAATATGAGGCCAACATCGACTTTTCAGAGACTTCTTCGTCTGTGTTTCCAACGCCTCTGTCGCCCCTTACGTGGTAGAGACGTTGAGACTTAATGCACGGGAGAGAAGGTGACACTGGCTTTGCCATGTGCTCACCATGTTCTCAGCTGTCCATTTTCGTCGCCCATTGTGGGACCGATCGTGGTGCGGTTGCCTTCTCGTACGTTGAACGGAGGGGAAGTCTCCGATACATTTTGTAGAATGACTGCACTTAATTTTTCACTGGCTGGTTACCTCTGTCTGGCCAGTGATATACGCCGTGCAAATAGCATACTGTGCTGCGGGAGGAAGGTCTTGATGTGTCGGGTGCTGGTACCTGACGAGACGTTTCGGCGTTGTAGAGACTTCCTGTGGCAGTCACAATCATGAACGTTTTACGTGATTTACTGGTTTCATCATACACGTCTGCAGAACCAACGACACATATACTCTATGGCTTCGTTGCGTATTCGGCGACGTAGCGACGATCGTACTGCTTCTTTAGACAATGGCGACGTCTAGATACCAAGTGCGACGGCAGCGTGGTACGCCATGCGACTTTTGTGCATGCTTTCGTGAAAGGTAGGAGGTCATAGTCGGCATACTGTGTCGACGATACTAATCGTAACAAAAGGGAACACAAGCGATGTTGTGTCCGTAATTGCATCTAGTCGAGCTGTGACGAACGCCTTCTTTGGTTCGCACACTTGTTTACGGCACCAATGAGGCGGCTCTACTAGCGCAAAGTAGAGAACCTTCACGAACGAGGTAACGGCTGAGAACATAGTGTCTGTTGCGATCCGTAAAGTGAGCGCGAAGATTCCCAGTGTCTCAATGTCGATAACGATACACGCACCGCGCGATTTGACATTCCTGGGAGCTACTGCATGCATCCCCCCGCTAGACCTGCCATCCTTTGTGTCCAGCTCAGCACTTTTCACCACGTCCCCGTCATTCTTTGTGCTGGTTATTGTAGAACATGGAAGCAGCTGATGCCAAGGCTCATTTGCCTTCATGTTTAGCCAGCAATGCGCTTGTCGGCTTCTCGGGTGATAGCCTGGGTCCCGGTGAGATATGTCGTCGATAGACAAGGAGGCCAAAGTCATGAACAACCCATTGCTGCCGCTCGCCAGCGACCTCATCAATCCTATACGCAGCTTCGACCTGGAGCTTCTCGTAACGGACGTGCTCAAATTAGACGATAGAAAAGACCACGTGGCTAACGCGCAAGCGGGAACCTCTATCGATACCACCTACTAGCTATCGTAGCGAGCGCCCGAGGAGTATCGCGAGGTCATTCCATACAATATCCGCTAAATGACGTTCCATCACGTTTTCGTATCGATGTCGATCCAAAGCGGCGCTATAGCCGATGAATGGTATCCACCTTCGCCAGGACAAGCTTGGCTTGCTCCATGTCAGGCGTGGGTAGCGATTCGGTCCATGCCCCGATGACGATGTACTTCGTTCAGAGCACACAAGTACAGTATTTCTAATCTTTGTTGTAGAGAAAAAAACGATAAAGCGACAGATGATGTACGCGCAATGTGTGATCGATCGACGTCGTGGCCATTTCGTTGGCAATCAACAAACGTCATCATGAGCAGCCGGCTACGAAGCACGCTTCTTCGAGCACAGTGCTAGTTGTCTGAACCGTCCGACCACTGCCGTGCTAGCTTTGCACGAGCCTCTGTGCGAACTCCAGTGCTAGTCGGGAACTCCATGTCGCCAGGGGCTCGCGACAGAGGTGTCATCGGATCGGTCGAAACTACACGAGGCACTGCTGCCGTTGGAGTCAGAGATAATTGCTGCAATGAGGAAGCACGCGTGCTTCGACTCACGACAGACGTTGCTCCACTCCGCGAACCAACAAGACGCTTGATCTCCATACGGCATTCGTCAGACGACACCGAGCTTTCATCTCTTTCACTTCGCTCACCCACGGTCATGCCACCACCACTGCTTCCTTCATTGTCGCTCCCACTAGTTGGAGGAAACAACTCCAGCTCGTGCTCACGCAACAGCTTCTTAAACTTGGTTTCTCTCACATTCATAACATCTCTGATCCAGCTGGGGATGCCAGGAACGCGCCGCGTGCTCGCATAGGCTATTGCCACAAACAAGTGCTCCAACAGAAGAATAAACAGAAGGCGCCATGCGATATGGATACAGCCAAAGTCTGGACCGAATGTAAAGTCGTCGAGACTTTTTCCCTGCTTTTCGAGCTGGTGTCGGATATCGGCCACGCACGTTGCGTCAAAAAACTCCAGCACACCAGTCGAGATGCAGATCAGTAATACGTTCACGATGACCGCGATGTACGCATAAGTGGTAAGGATACCGTTCCAAGCGCCAATGCCGTTGGCGCGTCGTGGAATCGGACGTTTGAGCGTCTTGCATAGTCGGTACCCATCCGTGCGGCCCTTGATGCTGTTTATCAGGAAGCAAGCAAACGGCATCAACGGCCACAGCATTGAGAACATGACGGTGAAAGCAAACTGCACCGTTAGCACGTGGAAGTCGTCGTACGGATCGTAAGTATCTTGCTCGCTGTCGAACAGAATCTCACGAGCCTTCTTGTTGAGAACCTCAATCTCCGAAGGGGTGTACTCGAGATACCGCGAACTGGACTTGTTGTCGAATTGGGACGCCTTCTGGTCTGCATAGTCTAGAGATCCCAAAATCTTGATGGAGCCTGCTTCGAGGACGCGCTTCTGTGCTAGTGCATCAGCATGCGCCTGAGCGGTTTCACGACGTCTTCGCACCAGAATGGGTGTCAGTAGCCTCAACAGTATGTTCAGCAGCTGTGTAATCACGATGGGAGTGACAAACATAGCGCCCAAGTCCACGTGGCGACGATCGAAGGTGAAGAACCCGACACACTCGATACAAGCAACGTCCTTATCACCCACGGGACACATCGTGCACGAGCCATCTTGGTCCACATACGGGCCGAAGCAACAATTCATAGCGTCGCCGAAAAACGTGTGATTCAACGTATTTGTCAAAAAGTTGCCCAGCCCGGGAATCACAAACACAAACGCTAGCGAGAAAAACCAAGTGAAGTAGTTCAGAAAGTCGAGCAAAAACAGCTTTCGAATCAATGCCTTCTCGTACTGCTCTTCGGTTCGATAGTTCTCCCAATGTGTGAACAAAGCACCCATCTTGGTGACCACCATGTTCCACTGCACGACGTCGACAAAGAAGCCAAAGACACATCCTTCTAGCAAAATGAGAAACCACTGTGTCGAGAAAATGTGGCTCTCCTTGTACCGCACTTTCAAAATCTCATATATCGTTACCCAGCTTGCGACGAGAACCATCATGATCAGCATCTGGCACAGCATGAATAAAAAGACGCAAAAGTATTTGGGCATCCGTCGCCACGCCGGATACACCAATTCTGCTTCACCAGTCATCGCGTTTACTCGAGACTCTCCAAAGAACCGCTTGTTCCGATACTCAATTTGCTTGACATGCAGCTTCCCTGTCCAATCGTACTGTATACACGCGTTTTCGCGCTCCCACGACTTGAGAAACGCGAAACCCCATACGACCGACACGCCCAGACCCCAAAACGGAAGAATACGCATGTACGTTGTCGTGGTGATTACACCGCGCGAAAGCTCGAGCAAAATGCCAATTGCTGCGAGCGGTACGAGCCACGTGTTGTAGTACTTGAGGAACGCAAAGTAGTATGCCACCTTTTCACCGAAATTGTAGCGCAGTGACAGCAACACCTTTTTGTCACCCACCTCATGGAGTCGCCAGGACGCGACCCATCGACGAATCAGTGTGTTTGTCACGCTCTTGTTGTGCATCGGAAACAGATCGTGAATCCAAACGTCATGTTTCGTCAATCGCGCCCGCTGTTCAATAATGTAGTCCACAATCTCGATCCGTTCAGCAGGAGTCGTCGGGTCATCGCGGCGCCCGGCCACGTCGTGCTCCATGTCCACGACGGCACCGTGTTCCATCCACATGTGCGTGCGAAACTGCTTCACCAGCGACATGACCACTGGATCCGGTGCGCGCACCAGCAGAATGAGGTACCCTGAGTGCATCTCTCCATTTTCATCACCACCATCAATCATGTCCACTTCCAGTCCTTGCCCGCAGAGCTCCGTGACAATCCTGCGGTGTTCATCTTCACTCTCACTGATGTGGTACGAACTGGCTCGACACAGTCGTCGAAAGCCCGAGCGTTCGTGCGACGCGTCGGCCAGGCTGTCCAGGCAGCCGCGGGTCCGCGGGTCTCCCAGCGAAGCTGCGCTGGCAGACGCGCTCCCTCCGCAGCAACACGAGCACTCCATCGCCCTCGCGACGCACCCCGGCAGCTCTACTTTCCGGTTCACAATCACAGCAAAGTCATAGTCGGCGAGCCGTCCGCTCTGAATCTCGTCCGGTTTCAAGTACCGGAACCGGCCCAGACGCACGCTCTCTGTCACCGGCAACGAGGCAGCTGCGCGTGTCGCGTACGCGGGCGACGACTGCGAGCGACTCGACGTCCGTTTGCTGCGTCGCGGGCCACGCGCTGAGGTCGCACTGCTCTGTGGAATGGCTACACTGTCACTGCTCTCGTCGCTGGTACGGCAACTCTCGCGGCCGGTCGCGTCCGCTGACGACAACAGCGCACCGTCTGTCACGTTACCCGCAGTCACTGCGCGCTCCCGTTGCGGCTGCATTGGTACTCGCGGACGAAGAGGCGCTACGACGTATACTGTCTCCCGAGCCAGAGGAGCGACAGGGTCCGGTGCAGCGGCGCGTCTGGGACTGGCAGCGCACGCGCTTCTTGTGTGTGTGTCTGTGTCTGTGTGTGACGTGTACAGCGCGTGTAGATGGGGCGATGGACGTCGCGAGTGCCTCTGGCGGGAGCTCTGGTAGAGCGGAAGGAATGGCGATGGAGTGAGCGGAGAACGTGGTCGATGCAGTTGGAGAGGTCGATGCAGTTGGAGAGGTCGATGGAGTGACGACATGACGGATGGTGGGATCGAGATCGACTCGGATGGGCATGGACGTGGCGACATCCTCTGACGCACTTTGTGTTTGAGTCCTTGTGAGAAGTGCTTTTTTCTTTTACTAGAGATAAGAGACGGGGGCGCTTTTGCTGAACCTGATCTTGACCAGTTGTAGGTCACAATGGCCCCGTTTGTGTATCATCCCGTAGGTACGTGCGTGCACGTTTTCTCAGCTGTGCTCTGGTGTCGTCTCACTTGCGTATGTCGACACGTATTGCATTGCCACGTCATACAGGTGGGTGCGTATACGCGCCGACTCACTATGATGTACACCATCGACGACTCATTACAACAATCTTTGACTTGTTCATTAACTCGATGGCATGTAGCCACATAGTCAAAGCGAACGCTCACACTAGTTGTAGCGGAAGCTCTGTTTGACATGGATGTGAAGCTGGCGTTTGTGGAAGTGGGTCATGGTATCGTTCTGTTCGCGCAATCCCTTCTTGTCGATCGATCAAGGACGAACAACTATATATTGTTTTGCAAGCCAGTGGTCACGTCTCGACGGCCTATGCAGAGCATTGCTGCTACCCGTTGGGTAGTGTTCATCAATACGAGTTGCATGCAAAAAGCCAACGCGTCTTCTATCGGTATCCCACCATATGAGGTCATCTAACGAACATGGTTGCAAATTCTGCCGTATATGAAGAGCTGACTGCGGCCATCAGTGTGGCGAAAAAAGGTACGTGAAAATGTACACAATCGAGGTTGGCGGGCGTTGCTCGCGATAACTCTTTCAAATGTGTTACACACATCACAAATATCATCGCCTATATGCTGGCGTTTATCAGAATAGCGAGTCAGTCACCAATTGCAAAAGTCGCAGCATTTACAAGATGAGGTTGAAGCTCAATTCCTACAGAACGTCACTTCAACGAATAGTTACTTTCTCTTTGTTCGTCTGTCAACTTATTTTATATCTGTATACTTTGCAGCAATCGCTTCGCTCGCACGTCACGATACATCTTTCCAATATCCAGATAAGTTCGCGCACAAACGTACCCCCGACACCCACGTCAACGAGGCAAGAACAATCCTATCCGTGTTGTTCCGTTCGCGCAGAAAGTCCCCCATCCATCTCCATTCCACCCAACAAATCACTAATCAACCCACCCCTCATTCCACCCGCTTCATCCAGTCTTTTATCCAGCTAAAATCCCATCCACCTCTCTCATCATTTTCTTCGGAGCTCTTCGCCAAAAAATAAATCATTTGCCCGATGACGTCGCCAGCCGCCGCCGCCGCCGCTGCGTCCCCTTCGCCGCCGTCGTCCCCGTCCTCCACAGCAGCAGCACAAGCAGCAGCTCCAGTAGCACCGCGTCAAGCTCAAGACGCACCTCCCGCTCCCGCGCAGCCTCTCCCGCGCGCGCGTCAAATCGTGAGCATCAATGACGAAGGCACGAACTTCTCGCTCGACGACGAGGCGCTCCAAGCGATTTTCCAGCAAGTGCCGGACGACATGAAGGTCGCGATTGTATCGGTCGTGGGCGCCTTCCGTACGGGCAAAAGCTTTCTGCTCGATCTGTTCCTCCGCTATTTGCGACACGCGCAAACGAGTGCGCGTTCAGCGCCTGCGAGCGACTCGTCTGCGAGCATTGCGTGGACACTCGAAGGCGTGAGCGGCCGTCGTGAAGTGACGTTGGAAGGCAACTCGAACGTCGACCAGAGCGGGAGCGAGAAGGGCTTTTCGTGGCGCGCAGGGCGGAAACGCAACACGACGGGCATTTGGATGTGGGACACGCCGTTTCGGCGCACGAGTCAGAGCGGCGAAGAGATTGCAGTGTTTCTCATTGACACGCAGGGCATGTTTGACTCGGAGACGTCGCAGATGCTGACGGCCAGTATCTTTGGCTTGAGCACGCTGCTGAGTTCGTACCAGATTTACAATGTCGACAAGCGCGTGCAAGAGGATAATTTGCAGCACCTTGCGCTGTTCACCGAGTATGGACGGTACGGGAGAGACACAGCTGTTGTTTAGGTGTGAAGGGGGGATGGTGGTGCCAAGATGTGGCGGTTCGTGGTGTGTGTATGCAGAGGGAGTTGACTGAACGTGGTTGTGAAACTAGGATGGCGTTGTTTGGCGATTCCAAGTCGAATGAAGAGCGGCAAATGGTGGAGCGGGCGACGTCGATCGCTTCGACAGTGTTGTCCGAGTCCCCACGTAGTGTGGACAAGGCGGCGGCGTTCTCGGAAAGTGAGCGGGACGACGATGATGACGACGACGCGAAAAAGGACGAAGAGGGTAGTGAAAAAGAAGCGGCGCTTGACAACGAGGTTCGCCAGCGTGCACGTCCGTTTCAGCGTCTCGACTTTCTGGTGCGGGACTGGCAGGACTTTTCGCGAAACCAGACACTGGCCGAGAAGCGGGAAGACATGAGGCAGTATACGGCCGAGATGCTCTCGTCTCGCAAGCAGAAGGACCTGGCGGACACGCGCGAACAGATCAGCTCGTGCTTTGAAAAAGTAGCGTGTTTCTTGTTGCCCCACCCCGGCCACGCTGTGACGGAGCGCGAATACGATGGGTCGGTGGAAGCGATTGACGACCGTTTTCTAGAGCTGCTGACAGCGTACCTGGACGAACTCTTTGCTCCGGCAAACTTAGTCCCGAAGAAGATCCATGGTATCACTGTGAACTCGCGCGAGTTGTTGACGTACATAAAGACATACGCGGGACTGTTCCGCGAGGCGTCTATTTTTCCCGAGGCAAAGACTCTACTGGAGGCGACTGCGGAAGCCAACAATGTGAATCAGCGCAACAAGGCTCTGCTCATGTACAAACGCGAGATGGAGAAGATTGCGGGCTCAAAGTGTCCATACGTCCCTGTGCAGGATCTCAAAAAGTACCACCTAACGTGTTTGGAGAATGCCATGGCTTCGTTCGATGAAGGCGCGCGCATGGGTCGCCATAGTGAGATCGTGCGGTACCGCAGTGAAGTGGCCGACCAGATCGAAGAGGAGTGTCACCGTTTCTTGGAGATCAACGCCGAGCGTGATCCGTACAAGAACCTGGAGTTCTACCTTATTCCAGGGTGTCTAGCGCTGGCGCTGCTCGTGTTCCGCGTTTCGCAGGACCTCTTTTGTTACGAACACATTGGCTACGACATTCCACTCTACGACTGCAAGTACGTTGTTGGTTTGCTACTGTGTAAACAAAAACTATTGCAAGCGCAAGAGTTACTGTTTCGGTGGTGTGTGTTTCACTGACACCCTCACGTGTTGTGGCTGTACTATTATCAATTGCAGGCATGTGAGCCACACGCTATCGCACTTGTATTGGGCACTGATCGTGTTCATGCTACTGATCATGATGTCGACTGGACAAGTGATGTTCAAGCGCGTGAAGACTGTAATTTCTATCGTCCAAGCCGCGTTGGACGCTTCGAAAGACAACAGCAAGGAGAAGAAGGACTAGAGGACATCAATCACCATACGGCGCTGACGCACCACTGCAGCAGGAGGAGAAACGGCCGATGGCGTTCGGATCAGGTGCGAGGAGGCGGTGATGCGAGCCGCCTCGTTTACACAGCTTTGGTAGATTTGCTGCCGTACAGCAGTGGATCGATGCCGCTGGTCTGGAATGTCGCAAGCTGAAGCGTCATGGCGCGAGTCAAGTGATGGCAGGTCGCAAATCGCAGCTTTGTCAACGAAGATGAATGTCTCACGTACTATTGACGACAGGGGTTCGTCGAGTGTCCTAATCACGTCAGTCCATTTTGCTTGCGATTGAACGTTTCTACGTGACGCGATTCATGATGTTTTGCAGCGAAGCAAATGGACTTACGACGAGGACGTCTCATCTGTCGCTTGTCCAATCGAAGAGCTGTGCTCTATGTGTGTAAGTGCAAGCCAGAAAAAGACCGAATACCACAAAAAAGAGGTTTTGCAACATCACCGCACGTGGCCGCCACGAGCTCCCGAGTGGGCCGTCAGACCCTTTACATCGTTTCTACCACGAGCGGCAATCGGCTCTTGTGGTCCCGAAAAGGGCACAGACGTCGTGAGTCCTGCGCCTTTCGCGCTCGTAACACTGAGACACTAAGTACGACAATTGAGCTCGACGTGATCAATTGCAAAAACGGTTGCGCGGGACACTCGCGGAGCTGATAACAGGCCACGTCATAGAGGGCAGTTCGGTCGGTCGAGCCTTCTGGGCGCTCGTTCTGAGGAGCGACCAGGTCGATCCGTAGAGTATGTACGTAGTGCCTTATCTTAGCGATCGGTTCGTCCTGTGATAATGAATGATGTGTGAAATGGAGAATGTAACAAAATACTAGAGGCAACAAAACATACCGCGGATTGTAGTGTGGTTGGGCCCGTAAAGTTGACTCGTGGTTGGGCCAGTTAAGTAGACTCGTGGTCTACAAACACCACCTCACCAGCTTCTTTGCTGAAGAATTCGACAAACACGTTTGCCAAACGCATCGAATGGGGCTCCGCATGAGCCAACTGCAAGAGCATATCTCCATGTAGAAAGTCACATTTGGCCCATCTCGACCTAGAAACGTTTCTTCCCTCTTCTAGCTTGAAACTCCGTCCGACACAAGTGCCGGCGTCGAACCAACTCGGCTTCATTCAACAAGTCGACAACAAATCAGAGGCTCCAACTTTCTCGCGGACAACCGATCGGAGGGAGCAGCACCGCAATGCACGTTCCCCCAAATCGTCCGTCCGTTTGCGCGTTTAACACAGAACCCGTTCTTCTCTCCCCGTCGTTTCCACTCCGCACGTACAGCCCATTCAGATTAGAGGATCACCTGGTCCGGGTCCTGGCTCTGCGACCGAATATTCTTCGCCTAGAACCGGCTCCCTGCGTGTAAACGCTGTCTGCTGTGGCATAGAAGCGCACGTCCCTATCCTGCGCGTATCCTCTGCGTTGCTAATGCGCTGGCTATCTCGACGTCCGTCGCGGCTGAGGTGAGTGTGCGTGGCCCACTACGTCATTCTGCAATCGACTCGCAGCCCCTCGACCCGCGCGCACTTTCGATCAATCGACTCGCAGCCCTCGATCAAGCGACTGCAGCATACAGCGCACGGTCCGCTCTGGTCTGTCGGTTCCCCATCTCTCCTGCGTCACACAACAAGACAATGGTGTGCACCCGCAGCGCTGTCGTGTGTGCCAGCGTCGCTCTCGTGGCCGCCGCAAGCGCATTCGATGCAGACGCGCACCACCGGCACCTGCAGGTTGTCACCTTTCGGCAGGACATGCTCGACGCGGTCAATGCGATGCGGGAGAGCCGGAAGCTGCCCAAGTATTGCCAAAACGACCAACTCATGTTCGCGGCTCAGGTCCAAGCGAACGATATGGCGGAACACAACTTTACCGGTAGCACGGGCTCGGACAAATCGTTGCCCACGGAACGGGCTGCACGCCAAGGCTTCATTGCGCCCTTGGTGACGGAGACCGTGGGTGCTGGATTCTCGTCCGCGTCGAGTATCGTCGCTGCGTGGGCCAAGACCGAGACCGTCGAGAGCACGATGCTCAACGGCACCTACAACGTCATGGGTGCTGGCTACGCCTATGACAGGACCAAGAGGCGGGTGCACTTCTGGGCGGTCACCTACTCGGAAGGCACGTGCGAAGACGACGAGAAGGCTGCGGCCCCAACCACGCAGACCGGCGGCGCCAGCGGTGGACCGCCTGCTGACGAGGGTGACAAGAAGAAGGAAGGCGAGGCGTCGGGTGAGTCGGATGGCAAGCCCGATGCCCCTGCCCCCAAACCCGCCGCCCCTGCTCCAAAAACCCCTGGCGCCCCTGCTCCCAAACCCCTGCCCTGCCCCTGCTCCCGAAACCCCCGACGTCACTCCTGCTCCTGAAGCCCCAGCTCCCAAACCACCTGCCCCTGCCCCTGCTCCCAAACCATCTCCCCTCTCCCAAAACCCCAGACGGCCCCCCTGATCCCGAAGACTCTGGCACCCCAGCTCCCAAACCACCTGCCCCCGCCCCTGCTTCTAAAACCCCTGATGCCGCCCCTGCTCCCAAAACCCCTGATGCCACCCCTGCTCCCGAAGACCCTCACTCCCGCCAAGCCCGTGGCGCCGCTCCTGCTCCCAAAACCCCTGACGCCGCTGGTGGCGTCCATGCCGATCCGAATGCAGGCCCTGGTGGCGCCCCGAATGCAGCGCCTCGTCCCGGTCCTGGTACGCCCATTACGTTTGACATTTAAGTCGCAAGCACGACACGTGAATCTGCGAACTTGTGATTTTAGCGGTAGCTCTGTTTGATACTTGTCGTAAAAGCATAATGCTAAGCGCCTTCATTTCGTTTCGCTCGGGGCTCTTGATGGCAACAAATAAACAACGACAATATGGTCTCTCTCACGTGCTGCCATGGGTCCGTGAGATGTGGAACAAGGTCTTCGTAGACTACACTTCAGCTGGAATCCTCGTAGCACTCGCTCGAAAGCTTCAGAGGAGAACATGCCGTTCGCAAAGCGACAACACCGATTGCACACATACTGCACCGTCTTGTCCATCATTACTTCATTCGGGTACCGTCGAGTGAGCTTCCAGCCCTGAGACCACGGCTCGACGGCTCTTGGTCGGAGTTTTTGCCAGAACGTCCATGGGCTCTGTAAACTTGTACTTCGCCTCATCTTCAAGCTTCATGCCTGCAATGCTGTCAAACACCCACTGACCATTTGCATCAACACCAAAAATAAATGTAAGAAAACCCAATTGCCGAGCAGCTATGTCTGCCACAGCGCACCTTCGAAGTCACAGCTCGAATGCCGATCCTCCGGGCCCGTCGAAACAGAGAGGCATCGCCACAGATGCAAATGTCTGCCACTGAAATCTGATTGCAAATCTGTGCAAAAATCAGGCAACGGGGACAAGCAGCATGAATGAGCATGCATGTGCAGTGTCCATGCGACACAAGGTCTAGCCAGGACTTACCTCTCCGCCTGCAACTTGAATGAGCGACTGAAGAACTTCGCGCGATGGCTCAACATTTGAACCGACAAAAAACTTCATGCCCTTGAACTTCTGTCGTGACTCCGGATGCTCGCGCGCGTATTTGTTTGCAAACATCGTTAGCTCAAAATCTTCTTCTGGCAACCACCGCTCTTGTTCAAGAGACGAAAACGCCCAATCCTCTGATACAATCCAAGCCCCACGAGCAATGGCAAAAAGCACTTTGATGGTGCGTTTTGCGCCTTTGCCTACTATGAGGTGCGTCACTCCAGCCGCGTAATCCACGCTCTTCACCATACGTGCCTTCCGGTAACCAGCATCATTCGTCATGTTGGCATCAATCGCATGAATCGCGCACTCCAGCACTCCGCGTGTTTCTGTGCTTACTCCAGTTATACTTATAACAGTGCGCGCAAGCCTGCCAGAATTGACTGAGGTAGAAAAATTCATAGCCATGGGAATCGGAGTCGAATTGACATCCCGATGCTTCCTCAGGAAACCAGACACCGAGCCTGGAGTTGCCAAACGCTTGTCCATTGTGTCTTCCATGTTTATGTTCCGTCGTGCTTTCTTCACGACTGGGGTTGTCAATGTATTGCTCGAAAAAGGAGGACGGAAACGCTTTTTTGCAGAGCCCTGCGTGACCTTTATATCGCCCGTCGTTTGCAGTTTTTTCTGCCCTTTCTCCATCACAGGGCTTTGCTCTCGCGCGACAGTCGGAATCAAAGCATTTGCGACTAAGGCGCTCATGCTATTATGCTTCAAAATAGAGCTTCGAACAGCGGGACTTTGAGTTCTCGATGTGGTATCGGCACTAGAAGCTGAAGTCTTCGTGACCGACCGCGAAACTCTAGACGCTCCTGGGCTTAGAGTACGGACTTTTGCAGCCGAGCTTGCAGTTGGTCGAGTCAATGAACGTGAATCACGTCTGGGCAACGGTAAGCAGCTGCTAGGCGTTTTCGACTTTCTAGCAGAGCCCGATAGTCTTTCTTTTCCAGTAGGCGGCGTCAAAGACTCAGATCTTAGCGTAGCAGGAGCTATTGTGATCGCAGACGTCGCAGAAAGCGTTTTGGACGCCTCTGCTACCGGACTTGCAACCACGAGAGGTGACACAGAATCAGAACTTCCCGGAGATTTCGCAGTCCCCTTCAAGGCTTGACAATCTGTGCAGCATCTGCGTGCGCGCGGATTCGAGCAGCCGCACGCAGCACACGACCAGATACCCGCTTTTAGTGTAAGACCACTGCCATACGGAAGAGAATTCCGATTGCGACGCCGTAGTTCTCGTGCTGTCGTTCTCTTTGCGCTCTTGCTCTTGTCGTCCGGCGAAACGGTTATTCCAGTCTTTTCACTATCCACAGCAACAGCGGAACTTACACCAAATAGGCATAAACTAGCTTGACAATCCGGCACCACAATCCCATCATTGCTTTGCTCCACGATTCCGCTCTTCTTGTCAATTTCGACTTCACTCACCGCGTTGACTCCACGTGCCGGTGACGCCGTCACGTCCTCCAGCTGCGTCGGCGGTCCATTTAACGTCTTTCGCCGCTTCACCGACGACGTCACACGTCTCGATCGGATCATCTGCTTGACTGGTGTACACGTCTCCTCGACTCGAGACACTGCCTCGGCACCGCCCAGCAGTTTCAAGATCGCATCCGACGCCAACGGCTCCATCGACTGTGCGCGCACTTTCCGCTTGTTCTTCTGCTGCGTCTTGTGCACTTTGGAACAGTCCACGGGCGACGGCGTCCATAGATCCACCACTGCATTGTCCAGCTCCTGTGTCTCTTGTCCGTTCCCACTCGAGGTGTCGTCCGTCTTGTCTCGTCGCAGCCCCTCGTGTCCCTCCACCGATTCCAGCGGCTCGTGGCCAAGCGACGGCCGGCCGCGTCGGCGCTGACTGTGGTGCTGCACTGGCTCTTGGCCACTCGAAACCGTCTCAGAAGCTTCGATCAGCCCTCGGCGGTCCGTTGTAGCGTGCTCCAACTGCTGCTTCTGCTGTTGCTGCTGGCGCACGGGGAAGAACGCGCGCTCGTCCCGCTTCTGTTTGCTCACGTAGCACGCATTGACCCAGAGCTGCGACACAATGTGGAGCTCGTACCGCCTCTTGTAGCCACCACCACCTGCAGCCGCACGAGCAGAAGCACCAGTCGAAGCACCAGCCGAAGCGCTGCCGCCGCCGCTCTGCCACTTGACGATCTTTGCCTTCCACACGGGCGTCACGTGACTCAGCACCACGTGCGTGAGCTTCGGCGTGAAGCGCTTGACGGTGCACGCGCCCAGCTCCCGCAGCTTCCGCGCCACGACGTCGCTGCAGTCGATCTGCGCGTCAGCGCCGACGCGCACGTCGACAATCGCGACGACGCCATGTAACGGGCCGTGGCCGCTGCTGATGCTGCGTCGACGCCGACGACACGGCGGCGCGGCTGCTGTGCAGGACGGGGCGAGCGCATGGGCGGCGTGTGGAGGCGACGCGCGTCGGGCGGGCGGGCGCAGCGCGTACGGTACGTGCGCAGCGGCAGAGAGCGACATGGGCGTCGCTGAGGACGAGCGCGCGCGCGAGCGAGGGAAAGCGAGAGTGAAGGTCGGAGTGGGGGTGAGAGTGAAGGTCGGTGTGGGGGCGAGAGTGAAGGTCGGAGTGGGGGCGAGAGTGAAGGTCGGAGTGGGGGCGAGAGTGAAGGTCGGTGTGGGGGGAGAGTGCAGGTCGGCTTGGGAGGAGGCGGAATGTGTAACTGCGCGCGCGCGGGCAAAGGCGGCGAGCGAGAGCTGGGAGTGTGGGAGTGTGCTGATAGATGCTCGACTATGTACGACTGAGACGAGCAAGGGGTGGGATATGTGGTGTGGTGCACAAAAAAGATGGCCGGTCGCTTTCGCGCCCAGTTGAAAGTGCGTCGCCGCGTTTTTCCTTCTTTCTATCATACTAGTTGGACCAGCGGGGGTCTAATGTTAAGGTATGTACGGAATGGGATACTGGCTGGCAGCGAAAAAGAGCTCGCGCTCGTAACAATCGCGACTTGTCAATCACTATTCGACAATCAGCGTTCCGGGGGTGACGATAGAGTTTCCGATGTCATGCTTTGGTGGTTTTTGGAGGAGTTGACGTAGTACCCGTGTGATAGCTGTAGACACGACGATGCATGTAATGGTGATGAGACTGATAGCTTGGAAGCGTCCGATTCGATCCGAGATGTGCCTTTTGGTGTTTCCAGGGAAAGGCTATCAGCAAATGTGCGTAAGGTTGTATCGGAACTTGTCCGCAGCTACTTTCTGTTGAGGAGTCGTTTGTAAGTCATGCAAGTGTACCCTGCATAGTGCGATCTAGCAACTCCCCTTTTCATCCAGTTACATGCAACGGAAGCGTCAATGTGTGGTTCCGTCACAAATCGCGACCACTATGGGGCCTGTAAGCACGCACACACTCGCACACACTTGATTGGCTCAACAGCGATCGCGGGCAAAGAAACGCAGATGAGCAAATGGTTCGACGCTTTGATGCACAAGGTCTCGCATCTTTAGCCCCACAAATCAGCGCTCCTAGCTCCTAGCACCTACAGCGTCACCGCTACCAACTGAAGAAGCAGTCATTCCACCGGCTGTGGCGATAAGGGTAGGAGATTGATGACTGTCATACGCCAGAGCTCGCAGAGACGCACGGAATTTGCAATGTCGTTCCGATAGGCATTTAGCTCAGCTGGGACGCAAAACCTATCTTACCTTCCAGCACATCGCTATATGACATATGGCAGCAGTCAAGGTTAGTGGACGTAGTCGAAACATTCTGCAAATAGCTAATGGCCGTTTCTGTATTCTTGTGAGATGTTTCAGATACAAGACGCGCGCATTAGGCGGTGAGCAGGTAGCTGTAGTGCAAGTGCTAGTTCAATGTAGCTAACGAAAGACAAACGAAGCAATATTGAGAGAATATACCTATCAATTATTTACAAACGCAGTTTTTCTTTTACAAAGCGCGTTTGTTTGTAGGCTCACCTGTTTTAATCCAGCCTCCATCTTTAAGTGTAAATCTGAAACTGATACTGATTCTATACTACGCATTTGTCGGCTTTCCTTCTCACCACCATCTTTAAACAGCGCTCTGTACCCACATCGTAGTCGCCGATGTCGCACTGACCGTAAAACGTCGCGCGTGGTCCGAAACCCGAATGTAGCACGGACCACTTCCCGTCACCCGTCACCTTCCAACACTCCTTCTCTACCGTGTTGTGGTCACTGCAACCGAAGAGCGCGAAGACTGTCAAGCTTGTACAAATCCAGCGCCTTCGTCAATGCATCCGCAAATATCTGGTATGGAGGTACGTATTTCGGCATGATTGTACCTCGTTTGTAACGGGGCAGCCCGTTACATGAAATTGTCACTTTAAGGAAAGTGACAATAAAGAATATAAAGATGGATATTCTTTAAACAATATCACCAAAGTGGTGATATTGAAGGGTCGACCAAAGGGTCTGTTCATTGGTTGATATCGTGATGATATCAACCCACCAATCGCCGCAAGACGCGCGCAATGAGTGGTGACGAGACGTCACCATACATCCAGTTATATTAGTATAGTTAAACTAAGTCAAACGAAGAGACAGTAGTTTAAAGACTTAATTATATTAATATAACAGTTCTACTTTTACCCTACCTACGCTTCCTCGCTTGCCACGTGTACGTCCGTCGGGGCACCCAAAACCCTTGCGTTAAGTTACGCAAGGGTGTGCCCCGTTACACCTGGTAGCACTTTGTAGTCCTATCAAGGACCACATCATCCAACATGAACATGTTGGATGAAGAAGACACCTTTCACGCCACGCGTGAAGGGTTTACCCATTTGAGTGACATCGAATGGGGTGCGGTAGAACGAATGAGTTCTACCGTAGGCGAACTCGTCGTTAGCGCCATGTTGGAGTCTCTAGACAGAGACCAACAACATGCCGCTATTGCCAAGTTCATTCAGAATGAACTTGCTCTCGAGAGGGAGAAAGTAGCCTTGCTTCACCAGCAAGGCTCTCAACAGGCCGAGCAGTTGAGAGAACTCGGTGCTCAACAGACGGAGCTGTTGAGACAGCAGCAATTCCATGCTGCTGTGGGCGGGACGGCGCATGCGCGTCGTCCCGAAGTCATGAAAGTTGACATCTCCAAGTACAGTGGAGTCCCGGAGGACTCCCTGTTACTATGGTTTGTCGAACTCGACAGAGCCTTAAGGGCTCGTCGCGTCGAAGATGAGCAAATGAAACTCACATTTGCTCAGACCCACTTGGCAGGGCGTGCCAAAACTTGGTCCCTGGGACTCGAGAGTAGCGACCCAAACGTGTTTAGGTCGCTAGATGACTTCAAGTCCCGGCTCAGACAAACGTTTGAGCCGCCACGGGCTGAGTTCAGGGCTCGTTCAGAGCTCCTGAAACTCAAGCAGGGTAAGCGTGATGTGCACGCTTACGCACAACATATACGACTCCTTGCGAGTAGTATAACTGCTAACCCAGTACATGAACACACGTTGATTACGGTGTTCATGCAAGGGCTCGCAGAAGGGCCCGTCAGGAGCCATCTGTTCCGCCTTGAGCTGAATACGCTTGAAGAAGCGATATCAGCCGCGGAACAGGAAGACTTTAGCATGAGACAGGCTCATGCTAGCTCAAACTCTTATCGTCCACCGAGACGACAAGAGATCGGAGGTCCAGAACCAATGGACCTCTGCTATGTTGAGAGCGAGAGACCTCGCTCTTCAAACAACAAGCGATTGCAGAGGTGCAATCGCTGTCAGAAGTTAGGGCACTACGCATACGAGTGTAGTGCTCCACGTCCAGTACCAAACAGTACTGAGCGAAATGGACGACCATTCGCCAGAAAGGGCAATGGGCGTGGGTCCAGCGCTGTTGCGAAGCCGCAACAGCGAGACGGACCATCAAAAAATGGTCGGGGTCAGTAGGGGCGGAGCGCCCTACTGATCCAGCAACCTCAAGAGAATTTGCAAATCTCTTGACGAAAGTTGCTCCAGATACACAATCATTGTGTGTCTCTGCACCTGGTGATGACGTTTCGCTCATCACCTTGAAGTTGGAAGCGACAAATGATTTGTCGCTTCGTGCCCTAGTAGACTGTGGGGCGTCGAACAACTTTGTTCGTCGCCAGTCACTAGAGGGTCGTAGGCTCAAGTTCGTTGAGCGCGACATTCCCCTCACAAGGATGACGGTGCGCCTTGCAACAGGCGCATCGATAACCGTTGAGAAAGGTGTAGTAGGAATCCACTACACGTTAGAGGGCGAACAGTACGATGATGACTTCATCGTACTAGATCTGGATGACAAATTTGATGTCATCCTGGGATTACCTTGGCTCAGAAAGTACGAGCCAAGGGTGAGCTGGCAGCATCGATCCGTGAAGATGCCTGCCGCTTGTTCATCAGATGGCCATCTGATGAACATCTTGGAGCGTCCACAAGCGTGTGGATGTTCTGCGAGTGAGTGCGATGGCCTCACTTGCGGTACGGTCGTTAGCACGACTGCACAAGATCACAGTGTAGTTGATCACTACACTGTGGAGCAAGCTCCCGGCGGCTGTACAGATGTACAGGCTGCGCCGAAGGTCCACCACTCGAATAAGTCGAGTGGACCGGGACATGGATGCATACCTAGCGGGCAGCATCTTAGAAGAAAGAAATCTGTTGCCCCCAAGGGGCAACATGAAAATCCTAGGTCGACTGGAGAGTCGACCGTAGAGGATCGGTTCCTGACTGTGGTTGCACAGCCACAGTCGGAAGACGTCGAGGGAATAAGTCCCCACGTACTTGAGGAAGGAATTCCTCAAGAGTCGCTTGCTGAGGAATTAGGCCCTCAGCAACCTGTGGAAGCAAGTTCCCAGGAAGAAACCGAGACGTTGAACGTCTTGGTTAATGACGGATCAAGCGTAGGCGCTTATACGCTTGATCTGATTGTGCCTCCGAAGTTGACTTCGGAGATAACTCAGTTGCCAACGCTAGAACCGAAACGGTTCTTGCGTGATCTGCGTAGTGGCAAAGTCAAGCAGATCTGCATACTCGTCACAGAGGATGAGTATGTGACCGATATTCGGTCGGCAACAGTATTTGCTGAGAACGAACGGGTTCTCAGCAGCTCATCGATGGACGAAAGTGTCCTCGATGAGAAGACTCGGATTGAGCGATACACGTCTCAATCCTGGGAGTCACTTCAGGCAAATCCTTTGTATAAGGATTTGATCGAATTCAGGGATGTGTTCCCTGAATCCGTACCTTGCGAGTTGCCTAAGGACAAAGGCACTCGACACGAGATCGAGCTCAAACCGGGCTCGAAGTACTGTGTCATGAAGCAGTGGCCACTGCCTCGTGAACAAGTACTAGCGATCGGCAAGTTCTTTGCCGATCGCTTAGCAGCGGGCCATGTGAGGGAATCAACATCCCCTCACAGCTCTCCGACCTTCTGTGTGCGAAAGGCCACAGGAGGGTGGCGGATAGTGCACGCATTCAACAAATTGAATGCTGCAACGGTACCGGCTCAGACGCCGATACCGAGGA